TCCAGGAGGCATGCTAATCAGATGCCCGAGCCACCTCATCTGGCTCCTCTCGATGCAGAGGAGCAGCGGCTCTACCGAATGACCGAGCTCCTCACCCTATCTCTAAGGGAGAGCCCAGCCACCCTGCGGAGGAAACTCATTTCGGCCGCTTGTACTCGCGATCTCGTTCTTTCGGTCACTACCCACAGCTCGTGACCATAGGTGAGGGTAGGAACGTAGATCGACTGGTAAATCGAGAGCTTTGCCTTTTGGCTCAGCTCCTTCTTCTCCACGACAGACCGATGCAGCGGCCGCATCACTGCTGACGCCGCACTGAAATATGTTTCTGACAATTGTGAAGAACTTGTTGAGTGACTGACATTGGTTTTAAGTCATGTAATACCAGAGTAGTTTGTTTAAATAACTTACTATCCATTTATCAATCTTTAAACAATTTAATGAGAGCAGGGTTACAGTGAGCCTGAAACCTATCCCAGAAAAGACTCAGCACAAGGCAGGGGGATGTTCTGGACGGGATGTGCACCCTGTGATGGACTGGCATCCAGTGCAAGGTGCACCACTGGCCTGTGATTTCTGGGCCAGGCCCCAGGTCACCACTGGGACCCTGTACTGGATTAGTGGTTGGAAGATTAATATATGAATGTGGGGCTTGTGATACTGTGCTAATGAAAGACAATAAAGATGAGATAGAAGGGTTGGCTTTGGTTCACTGGAGATACCGACAGCATCCGATTTTAATGCTTAACAGAAATGAGTGATGCCAGTTTTGATGTTTGACATCAATGAGTGCAAGTATGCGCTGACAGAGTGTGAGGATGCTAACTGGTTGCTAACTGGATGCTAACTGGGAGACGCGCTTCAACGGCAGATACAGGGACTGACAAGATGGCACTGCAGTCCACATGAGACAGAAGGGCTTTCTTGCTGCGCAGTCGGCAGTCTGTCTCTCAAATGTCCACTCTCTCACCAACAACTAGTACTATGTATTAGGACTAATATGGACTATGCAAGTATTTCTGTATTCTGCTTTGTGGAAACTTGGCTTAACTTGGACATACCAGACAATGCTGTTCAGATGCTGGGATACCTACTGCTCTGAGCGGATTGCAACGACACACTGTGCAGTAAATCACATGGTGGCGGCCTGTGCACGTTTGTAAACAACAGATGGTGTCGCGATGTTTTCAACATTTTCTGCGTTTCTCCTGCTTTATCATTTATTGCAAGCCCTTTTAATTTGCCCATGTTATTATTTTGGTTGGAGTTTACATTCCTCCCAGGGCAAGTGCTCACAGTGCACAGAGACTGGTAACTGATCATATTCATGATCTGGAAAATAATTTCCCAAGTACTGTTATTTCTGTCAAGCGGGATTTTAACCACAGCAACTTAAATCATGATCTAAGTACCACCAACTGATCAGCTGCCCCACGTGGGAGGACAGAACTCTAGATGACTTCTACACCAACATTAAAGGTGTATCACGCCATGACCCCCGTGCACTCAGACCACACCATGATCTTGCTTGTGCCCAGTAGCCAACTGTCAGACTATCAGTCAGCTGTGGACTCCTGAGGCTGTTGGGGAACTAAGGGACTGCCTAAGCCGTGGAAGGTTGTTGTAGCAGCTTGGGTGAATATGCTGACACTGTTACATTGTACATTTCCTTCTGTGAAGATGTGTACCTCCCAAAAAAGATTATAGTCAGATACAATAGCGGCAAGCTGTGGTTAATCAAGGAACTGAGAGTTTTCAGACTTGCGAAGCATCACGCCTACAAAATCGGTAACAAGGAAGAATGCAGGATTGCAAAACAGCAGTTCAACCAAGCAATGAATGTCTCCAAAGATGCNGAACAGACTAGAGAGGGGCCTCTCCAATGCCAACAACTGGGGCATCTGGAGCTGTTTGGTTTGACAAACAACCACTATTTCTCACCTCTCACCTGGCTCGTACCAACCAATGACTCCTCCTCAAACCCAGTTCTGCTACTGGAGCGCACCACCCACGCCCAACCTTCCTCCTTCCCCCTCTCCAGTTTTCTCTGTGGAGACTGAGGATGTATGCAGACTGTTCAGCAAACAGAGCTTTGGGAAAGCAGCAGGCCTGGATGGTGTCTCACCTGCATGGATCTAATTGCTTCAGTTTTTACAGGGATATTCCACGACTCCCTACATTCATACAGGGTCCCAGACCATTTTAAAGTGACTACAATCTTCCCATTTCCCAAGAAAGACAAGTTCACTGGAGTACATGACTACAGGCCAGTTGCATTGACATCAGTGGTTATGAAAACCTTTCTGATGCCGGCCGATCTCAAGTCCATCAGACACCCTCACAGTCTTCAAAACAAATTCATCAAAACAGTGGATTTTTCAGATGACACAATCACAGTAGGACTCATTTTCCAGCGATGATGTGACCCATCACAGAGAAGTGAGCTGTCTTGTCGTTTGATGTGTCAGAGACAACCTGGAATTCAATGTTGTCTAGACAATGAAGATCAGAGCTATCCTGCCTGCCCTCCCCCCGGAAATTAATGGTCAGGCCATGACTGTGGTGGAGACCAGTATCACCAGCACATTGTAATGGGACATGCAAGTCACCTCCATCAGCAGAAAAACCCAGAAATGACTTTCTTCATAGGTTAATTCAAGAAGCATGACATCCTCCATCAGTGCCTGGTTCCCTGCTGCCTCTATACTGTCTCCAAAACCAAGTTCCAACGTGAGGTTTGCTCAACTGAGAAAATCAGGCTTTCTCATGCCATTCCTACAGCTTCTTTCCTGCAGCCAACCAGCTCTTATATTCTCTCGCCAAGTACCTTAGAAATCCAGATGAAATCCACTCACCCAGGGACAAATCCCCTCTTCCCTTGCCTGACATTTTACCTCTGTGGTCTAATTGCACTATGTCATTTTACAGCCCTTTTTGCTTTGGTGGATCACTCGCACATTGTCCATACTAGCTTTCCTTGCACCTGCAGCTGTTTTTGCACATGGTACTCTGGTGTTATTTATTGTTTTAAGACGTCTTGCACTGTGTGCTCTGTAAAATTGTCTTCCGTTAATCTATCCTATTGCATCTTTAGTTTTACACATATATGTTCTGTGAAGGGTTTCTATGAATTTCTTGCAGTTTTGTCCTGTTATACATGTTTGTCAGAGGACCACAAACAATTCTGGTATGTTTATACATACTGGCAATAAAGGGTCGAGTCTTGAAGCAGCGCGACCGACTTTATGACCCCAGTCTTTTTCTTTCTTTAACGAAACCATTGTCTGGAGTTAGTGAACTAAATTCCGTTTTAAAACGTTTAAGTCTCAACCGTGCGTTGCAAATTTACGAAGAAGCCCTTTGCAATTGTTAAAGGAAAGGAATAGGTTCCGGGTGATTTAAAAGGCAGCACTAGTTTTGCGTATTCTAAAGGTCTTCATGGTGATAATTAGAAACAACTACAAAAATAACATGAAGGGCAGTGCACGATGCGGGGGAGGGTACCGGAGGAGCTGGGGGGCAGAGCCGCCCGGCCGGTCCCTCCCTCGCAGAGACGCGCTGGGTGGGGTTAATGCGAGCGCCCTAAACGCTGAACTGTCCCCGTCTACTATTGCAGTAAGTGCGATCAAACTTTCCGATACTTTCGTTTATACCCTGTGCCTTGGTCAATTTCTTCTCTCTCGACAGACCTACCTCAACTACTCCCTTAATAGCTACGTAGTTTGTTTTTTTATTTATTATTTTGTTTATACAGTTTATTTATTTATGCAGGCTTTTGTATGCGGTCGCGGTTAGACAAGCATTACACGTTTAGTATAAATCGTAATTAAGCGCAGATATTGCACTATATATTGTTCATTGACTTTGGCAGCAAAAATGCATACAACGCAGAAGGACACGACCTACACGAAGATATTTGTTGGGGGTCTTCCATATCACACTACGGACTCCAGCCTGAGGAAATATTTTGAAGTTTACGGGGATATCGAGGAGGCTGTTGTGATCACTGACAGGCAGACGGGAAAGTCCAGGGGCTATGGATTTGTAAGTAATTATTTGAAGTTTATTTCTTTAACCGTAACCTCTACTTTTTTGGCATGACAAGGGAAAAATTCTTACTGAATATGAACGATAATTTCGGCTAAACCGATTAATGAATGCTTAAATTTACACTGGTGACGATGAATGGCTTTAAAGTGAGGTCCAGTCTGCAGAATAATTCATATGTTTGGATGAACTTGGTATATTCTTGAAATAGATTAAGGAAAGCGTTAATCGCGAATTATACCTTCCAGCTTCAAAGGACACCAATACTCAACAAAAACTTTCTGTATTCTTGTGTGCATTTTTATGGCGATTGTAGACCGATTTCACGCATCAAGGATAGCTAAGACTCACAAACTAAGCTGAGTTATTACTTATTAATCACCAACCTGGTGCTCCATTTACCATATGCCTTTACCCGGTTAGTATTAGGAATACTGAACTTGACCTTGTTTGGACTGTAAAGAATGTGCTTCTGCTTGCACGTGTATCATCCTCGTGTATTTACACCCATTCCCCCCGTGGCCCAAGGTTACAATGGCAGATCGAGCTTCAGCAGAGAGGGCCTGCAAGGATCCCAACCCCATAATTGACGGCAGGAAGGCCAACGTTAACCTGGCCTACCTGGGCGCCAAGCCCAGGGTCCTTCAGTCAGGTGAGCATGTCCTCAGGGGAGTTTGGGCAGACTGGCAAACTGGTCAGAAAATTAGATGTGCTGAAATCACTGTATGCTGAATTTGATTTGCCTTGTGAAAAATGACATGGTACATCTAATTAAAACCGGAGTTAAGAGTTTTGCATGACATCCATCCATCCATCCACCTTCCACTGGATACATCCATCTTCCACTCAGACCTGTAGCCCATCTTCAGTGCTTTATGTCAGTTTAAAAGCAGAACAACATTAAGATACATTTTTGTTAAGGTATGTGTCACATTTTTTTTTTGTTTGTATCCAGGATTCTCCTTTGCTGTTCCACGAATCCATTCAAGTTTCATCCCAAGGACATATGGGTGAGTCGTGTTCAGCTGTTTTCAGCTGTGTTCAGCTGCACAGTGTGTGTTCAGTATTCAGCAGGTACTTTCTGTGGTTTGGTCATTTCTGTGTCTTGTGACTCCCTCAAAATGACGCCCCTTCCCCCCCTCCATACTGATGATTGTTGGCTGACTCAGTTCTGTCTTTGGGGGTCGTATTAATGATGACCCCCCCCATGCCCGTTGGGGCCCCACTGTAGGGAGTATAAGCCCTGAAGGTCGTCTTGCTTGCCTGCTGATCAGTGTCGAACGCTTTCGAGGATTTCGCTGTGCAGGGAGATAAACCCTCAGCTCCGTCTTGCTCTGCTTGAGATAAGCAGATGGAGACGGGCCTGTTAGTGCCCCCCCCCCCCCCCCATTCCCTGTCACTCTCCGTGTTAGTGTCGCTTGTAAAGTTACTCTTTCCATTCTCCTGTCACACTGCCATTCCAGTAAGCTACTTCTGTGGGTTTCCGTAGTAAATCATAGTTAAACCATTTGTTAAAGTTGATTTTAAAGTTTTGAGTTGTTTATCTAAGAGGTTTGCAGGAGAATAAGCAGATTAGTCATATGTGACTTGTTACACACAGTGTGTATTGTTAGATAAAGTGGGAAATTAAACATGTATCTTGGGAGCAAGATTCAAAGGATTCAAAAGGTTTATTGTCATTTGTACTGGTACAAGTACTGAGTACAATGAGATACTTACACTTGCGTGTTATTATCTGTAGGCTCGGTAATTTAATACGGGGAGACAAAACGTAAGACAAACACTTAAGTGAAATAAAGGTGAGAATAAATATTGATATGTAAATATAAAAATGGAGATATAAATTTTAGGGTTTCAAAGGAGCAGAAAACTTCTGGAAACTTTCCAGAAATTTTCCATTCCATGGAAAGTCAAGCTTGAGAATTTTGGAAATATTCCATGAGAATTAATATATGGGAATGAATGAGTAAAATTCCCAGAATTTTGCATCTCTAATAAAAATGGATGTATCCGGCAGAATAAGCATGGTATACATATGTACAGTATGTGCATAGCAGTAGACAGTAGTGCAAAGCTAAAATACCAGGGGTTTGGGGTTATAATGAGATCAGTGCAAGATAGGGGGGAGTGAGATGAGAGGAGGGAAGATGATGGGAATGATGGGAAAGGTTTGTGGGAAAGAAGCAAGCCCGGATGGGCCAGTGGGTCCATGTAGACGGGCCGCCTGCCGTCGCTGTCCCTCTCTGAGATGCACGGACACAGGGTCCCAGCCCTGCGGCCCCGCCTCCTTTTGTGGGAGAGCCGCTTGCGGCAAGTCGGAGCGGCTCAATTGCCACAGTCAGCAGTGCATTGCGTCACGTGAAAACATGATGCGTTAATCATGGATTTGTGGAAAAGATTATGTCATCCGAGCTGCTTTTTACAAGTGGCTCACTTCTTCAAACACTCCGCGCAACTCGCACAGGAGGCCGTCATTTGTAGGTATTCTGTGTGCTTGTGTGTTTGGCTTGAATTAAATCATTTTCAAAAACGGGTTTCTTCAGACCCCTGGGATTTCCTTTCATACTTATGGAACCTGTTGTAATGTGCAGCACCTAATATTTGAAGAGTGATACTGAGCTAATTAATAATGGATGATTCTGAGAAGCCTTTGCAATAACAGGTGTGCTGTCAAATATTAATAGTCTGCACGCTACCTGTATCGCGACGCTAATTCGTCTGTTTGTTCGGTTTGAAAAGCACCTATACTTAGCCCTGAACTTGAGGGACCAAAAATGGTTGGGGTCACGCCAGAGAAAATATGTTTATATTCGGCAACAAACCTCATGGCTGGGAAGAGGAGCACAGTGACAGAAGTATTTTTAACCAGACTAAACTCCTCCCAGGAATACAAGGGGTAAAGTCCACCGCTGTTATAGCTGGAGCTGAAAATCATTGTGTTATCTTGTGTGTCTCCTTGAAAACAGGCTGCCAGTCTCTCTCTCTCTCTCTCTCTCTCTTTCTTTCTCTTTTGAGAATAGCCAAAGGAAAGCATGTTGAGATCTGCTACAAACATGCAGTTAAAGTGATGGATTGATTTGCTGGCTGCAGTTCTTTGCCCTGCTAGCATAGCGGCTGGCAGCCCAACCCGACTGTCAGTAGAGCTATTGATAGAGGAAGTGGGGGAGGGCAGAGAAGGAGGAAGTTGAAAGGAGATGCTTCACAGTAGGAAGTAAAGCGGCACAAAATGAAAACGATTGCTGTAGCACAGTAGGACAGAAAGCCCACTGGGCCTGTGCTTATGTGGTTAATGCAGGTCCTGTTTGGCTGAGCAGGGGGAGGTTAAATTGGCTGTGTGTGGCTTATGTGTGTGTGTGTCTGTGTGTGTGTGTGTGTGTGTGTGTCTGTGTGTGTGTGTGTCTGTGTGTGTGTCTGTGTGTGCGTGTGTGTGTGTCTGTGTGTGTGTCTGTGTGTGC